CCATGGTTAAACCTTTTGTGTACCAGGCACATAATACTAGAAAAAGAAATACAGAGGTCTTAATCTATAAACAGTAAACAACTGTGAGCATATTACACCAATAACTTCGGTTTTGGTATTTACATAAAATTCGTAAACTTCAGTAAATTTCTTAAGTGTTGAGAGGGTGACTGCAGGTATTTTATGAAGCCAGAAGAAAACGTACAGAATAAATTGAACCTGCTTGGATAGAGGAGGTGAGAAGTGATGCTAAAATTTTAACAACTTTTGTGTGTTATCACAGTTTTCGGTCCAGGTTAGTTCATAATTTTTTTTACATATATTTCTTAAACATCCGTGAGCTTTGTAAGCAGGGCAGGAGTTAGGTGGTCTCCAAACAATATTAGTTTATTGTGATAACTTCTGGAGACAATTCATTCAGCAAAATCTGTTATTGATTGCGACAGGCATTGTATTAATATCCATTTACAATTAAATTACGGCAAGAAAACAGGTGAAATAATGTATCAGAACAAAATGCCTCTTGAAACACTTTACAGTATTATTCAGTCATTTGAACACTTTTCTAGTAATAATTCATTCAGACATGACCGTAAAAGTGAGACATGCATGTTTTATAGTCAATTTACAAAGTAACAAAAAAATTAATCAAGTGATCACAGAACAGCATGTGTGATAATAAAATACCAAATAAATAACAAAAACCCTTCTAAAAATAAAATGTGGTGACACAGTAAACCTCATCTTTGAGTCATTTTAGCAGCACTTTTTTTGCACTAGTAACTGTTTTTAATATGTAAAATAAAAGTGAGTTTTAAGAAGATTACTGTGGCAGGTGTACGACTGTCTGATACTGGATTTAACAGAATATTTGTTACTGGTTTAGAAATAAACAAAAGCACATTATTGGTAGAAACTGATAACTAAACTACAATTTCATCAGTCTATAAAACAAATGATTCTGACACCTGTAATGTCATCTGAATCGTCCTTATTAGGAGGTTTAGTGTCAGGTTACACACTTTGCCAAGGTTTATCCTTCATTTGTTAATGACAGACATGTAAAAAAAATAGAACCAGATTAGATTTACATGACAAATTTCTTATAATACATTATGACTACAATCCATAGCTTACCATGGAAGGAAGTCATCGAGTAGATGTGAAGATAGAACTGATGTTTGCTAGCAGGCTAAAGCTAGCCAGGCTATATTAGCTCAGTCAGCAGCGTGTCTCCTACTCTACTCCGGTCCCATTCACTCTTACAGCCGACCGTGTTTCATAAACAGCATCGGTTACTTTCCAGGTAAAACCACACGGTAAGGAGACTGGCGCCCACACCCCTACAAGTGAGCTAAAATAATCGTTTTAGCTTTAGCCGCGCATCGGTAGAAAATGACACATGGTGGTGGTGGTGGTGATGATGATGATGATGGAGCGCGATGAAGGCAACCCGCGAACATTATTCCTGAATATCACACTCACCCAGAACCACCTGGAAACTCTGAAGATCACCTTCGAGTCATGGCGAGAAGAAGGCAGCCGCTATCTGATGGAAAACGTCGCTGAAAAGAGAAACGGGTCCGAGTTTGATAGGAAAATGTTGCCCGCAGCAGCAGACAGCCGGAGCTGAAGACGGTAGCCGTGTTGATGACAGCTCAGACCTACAGCTTTACTACGGCAGCGGGTGAACTGGACTCAACTGGCTGCGTGACGACAGGAAGTGACGTCAGGAAAAAGGCGAGATGTAAAAAAAAAGACTACAAGGGTTCATCAATATTGCAATATTGCATAATATTGTATTACAGCTGTAATGTGTGTTGGTCACGTGACCAAGTGACCAAATGTAGCAGTGGCGGCCATAAACAAACCGGGCAAGCGTCTGGATTTAACATTACTGTTGGCAAAATAGAGAATACTAAAGGGGAAGTTGTAAAGCAATAAAGATAATATTTAAGCTTTAATAATATTTTATTAATATATTAATATTAGATATTAGAGTGTATATAAAGGATAAAATGTTTAAAAAATGGCAGAAGGCTTTATGTGTTATGGATGAAGCAACAGAAGAGAAACAAGAAGTGCCTAATTTCACAAGTAAACTGATTTTATCTTATTTACCTCCATGTAAATGTAATCTGACCAGAATGGAAGCTGACAATGTAACTGTTTAAAAAAATAAAATAAGCTTATAAAGCTGATTATTACTGAATATATACAGTGGTTTGCAAAAGTATTCATACCCCTTGAACTTTTCCATATTTTGTCACATTACAACCACAAACATAAATATATTTCACTGGAATTTAATGTGAAAGACCAACACAAAGTGGTATACAATTGTGAAGTGGAAGCAAAATTTTACATGAATCAAAACATTTTTTACAAATAAAAAACTGAAAAGTGCGACGTGCAAAAGTATTCAGCCCCCTTTTCCCTGAGTGCAACCAATTGCATTCAGAAGTTGCCTGATGACTGCTAATGACTCAAAAGGGTCCACCTGTGTGTAATCTAATCTCAGTACAAATACAGCTGCTCCGTGACGGCCTCAGATGTTGGTTAAGAGAATATTGGGGAGCAAACAGCATCATGAAGTCCAAAGAACACACCAGACAGGTTAGGAATATGGTTTTGGAGAAGTTTAAAGCAGGCTTAGGTTATAAAAGGATTTCCCAAGCTTTGAACATCTCACGGAGCACTGTTCAATCCATCATCCGGAAATGGAAAGAGTATGGCACCACAGTAAACCTGCCAAGACAAGGCCGTCCACCTAAACTTACAGGCCGAACAAGGAGATCACTGATCAGAGAGGCAGCCAAGAGGCCCATGGTGACTCTGGATGAAATGCAGAGAGCCACAGCTCAGGTGGGGGAAACTGTCCACAGGACAACAATTAGTCGTGCACTACACAAATGTGGTCTTTATGGAAGAGTGGCAAGGAGAAAGCCATTGTTAAAAGAAAACCATAAGAAGTCCCGTTTGCAGTTTGCCAGAAGCCATGTTGAGGACACAGCAAACATGTGGAAGAAGGTGCTTTGGTCAGACGAGACCAAAATTGAACTTTTTGGCCACAATGCAAAACGCTATGTGTGGCGGAGAAAGAACACTGCACATCACTCTGAAAACACCATCCCCACTGTCAAATATGGTGGTGGCAGCATCATGCTCTGGGGGTGCTTCTCTTCAGCAGGGACCGGGAAGTTGGTCAAAGTTGATGGGAAGATGGATGGAGCCAAATACAGGGCAATCTTGGAAGAAAACCTGTTGGAGTCAGCAAAAGATTTGAGACTGGGGCGGAGGTTCACCTTCCAGCAGGACAACGACCCTAAACATAAAGCCAAAGCTACAATGGAGTGGTTTAAAAAAAAGAATATTCATGTGTTAGAATGGCCCAGTCAAAGTCCAGACCTAAACCCAATTGAGAATTTGTGGCAAGATCTCAAAACTGCTGTTCACAAACGCTCTCCATCCAATCTGACTGAGCTTGAGCTGTTTTGCAAGGAGGAATGGGCAAGAATTGCAGTCACTAGATGTGCAAAGCTGGTGGAGACATACCCTAAAAGACTTGCAGCTGTAATTGCAGCAAAAGGTGGCTCCACAAAGTATTGACTCAGGGGGGCTGAATAATTTTGCACATCGCACTTTTCAGTTTTTTATTTGTAAAAAATGTTTTGATTCATGTAAAATTTTGCTTCCACTTCACAATTGTATACCACTTTGTGTTGGTCTTTCACATTAAATTCCAGTGCAATATATTTATGTTTGTGGTTGTAATGTGACAAAATATGGAAAAGTTCAAGGGGTATGAATACTTTTGCAAACCACTGTAAATAAAGAAAGAAAATTATTAGCTGATTAGTGGAGCCATGCACACCACTGACTTTTAGCCATGAGTACTTTGGGTTTAAAGTGGACTGAGAGAATACAGACACATGGACATTTAGTTTCTGTGGTTCAAAACACTAATCTTTTCCAGTCAACTGATAAACTGATAAATCCAAGTTAATCAGCTACCACTTTGGGTTGAATAATGAATTATTTCTCCCTGATTTATTCCACTTTTGTTTTTAAATTTAACTACTTTGTTACTCATAAACATCTTACCCAATCACTTCTCCCTCTCAGAAAAACTGGCAAGTGAACAAACATTCAGCAGACCTAGCCTGCGTGTTCCACGTCCTTTGCTGTGGAGTGAACACAGACGCATCAGCCAAAAAAAACAGAAAGGCCTTCTCCACACGGCTGTTTCAGATCTGCTAATCCACTGCTCCTTTACTTTTACAAACAGAATTCCACCTTTTTGTGAGTGTGTGACGTAGTTTTGCTTTGTCTCAGTCTCAGAAGGGACAGAAAATGCTTACTCAGCAGCTATGAGGATCAGACGTTGCATTTTGAGTTAATGGTCAGAAACAACTTCCTTATTTTAGGTTTATAACCTAACCAAGCTTAAATTTCTCAACAGACTTATTCCTGACTGTTTGAATGTCTCCCCTACCAAAAGAGTAGTTGCTTTCAGTTAGTTAAAAATATCCGAATCGCTACATAATCAGTAATAATTATAAAACAGTTTTATTCCAGCTGACCTATTGGACCATGTTTACAGGCAGAATGAGGTGTTGAATGTTAGTAGCCACTGCTGATATCAGCAATTGCTTTGTTACATCTCATTTGTCATCTCCCAGTCATTTTTTTTCTGACAGATAAGTCACTTTCGGAAATGTAGCAGGGAGGAGTTCAGTGTGGGTTCATAACTTTTCATTGTTTCGTTATTAGGTCCAAGTTAAAAATGTCCCTTCGCGTCGCCCTCATCATCATCTTGCAAAGCCCCCGAGGCAGCGGATCGACAGAGGTCTGCTGAATAATGCAGAGGACAAACGAGCTCCGGGCCGTCTAGTCTGCTTATCTGCTCTGACGGCTCTTTTCCCAGTCCAGCCCTGATAACCCAGGACGTCCAGCGATATTCAGGATGTGACCCAATAACCTGAGACTGCAGCAGGGGAGCAATACTGTTTATTGGGGAAGGTGTTCTCTGTAAACCTTCAGAAAAGATTAAAGTTCTCAAGGAGCTGCAGGAACCATCTCCCAAACATCAATCATGTAGAGTTATGTTCATACTAAAAAGTAAAACTGCAATAAAAAAATGACAATAGCAGGCCATTGTTTGCATTTTTAATGAATTTCAAAGTTGCTGAAGCACATAGGTTTGAAGAATAGTTCAGCTGGCAGCAGAGCCGCCGTCGTCTGCAGCACACAGAGGTTTCTGCGGCCGTTCGAACATGGAGCAGATGCAGACTTTGAAGGGTTTGGACATTTTCGGCCAGTCCTGAAGGGGAAAATCATCCCCCTCTCGTGGTTTTGCTGCAGGTTTACTCCACTGTGAAATTGCAGATTCAAAATCCCACTGAAAATGAAATTAAAAAAGGGTCACGTTATGTAATCTTCTTTCAAGTTAATGTGCAGCGTAATAAGTAGCTACAGTTCTGGTCAGAAATGTTGGCAACACTTTAGAGTAGATGCAGAGTTGAAGATTTTCTGAAATAAAAAGGAGAACTAAATAAGCGTCATGAGACTTATGGGAGTGGTACACACTACAGTACTCTTTGATGATGGTTTCTGTCACATTGCTGTATGTTTAACCTCTAAAATGTTCAGATTTTTTAAATGAAAATTGGTAATCTAGGAACATGCATTTTAACGTCACAGGCACTCACACATCATTAAATAAAACCTTTACCACCTACTTATCACGTTTTTTTCCAAGCTTCACTTTATTTTCTTATAAGCAAACTAAATAAAGATCGTTGTTTTGGTTCTCTCAGTTCAAGAGACAGTATTTTTAGAAAAACACTTTTTCTCTCTCTACAGTATGCTCCAAACCACATACATTTCTCCCAGTTTGGTGTTTTTTTTACCATTTGTAAAAGGAACAACATTTAGCTACTATTGCCATTCTTGATATGTGGAAGACAACCTTTGTTCTTGCCCTCTTGAAAAGTGGCGACCCATCTGTTTAAAATAATTATCAACCCGTTTCTAAACTTTGTATTTTAGCTAAGGTCCTGGAAAGGTTAGTTATTGACAAACTTAAATGGCATTGGATTTTATCAAATGGTCTATCTTGTCATCGGTCTGGTTTTAGGAAACAACACAACACTGTAACAGCGATGACAAAAGTATTAAATGATATTGTGGATGCTGACAGTTACAATGCTGCTTTTTTATTGAATTACCAAACGGCATTTTACATCGTAGATCTTTCCATCCTGTCAGGAGCTTATGGAGATTGGTCCTTCAGAGCAAACAGTTTTTTTTATCTGGCTGGACATTAGCAGATTGTACAACACAGGGGTTTCTCATCGAATTATTAGAAAATTATGAGTGTCCCACAAGGTTCCATTCTGGGTCCTTTATGGTTTCCAATTTATGTCAATAGTTATGGGGAAAATGTTAGAGGTCAGTATGCATTTATATGCCGATGACACCGTAATCTACTGTCATGCAAAGTCAGTAACATTGGTTCTTGAGCATCTGCAGTCTGTATTTGATTATCCAATCAGACTTCAACTTAAATTAATTCTTAACGCGGACAAAACAAAGACCATGCCGTTTGCAAACAAAAATGAAGTGCTACAAACGATACCATCTATTAGGTATTTTAATGGCTTAGCTATATAGTTTGTATAAACTTAAACACATCTTGGAGTTGTCATTGATCAAAAGCTCTCCTTCAAATATCACATTGACCCCATTTAAAAAGAAAAAAACTGAAGTTAAAATTAGGATTTTTCTTTAGAAATATTTTGTTTCCCTCTTGTGTTTCGCAAACTCCTTTCTGCAACCTTCCTGCCTCTACTGGACTATGGTGATGATTATATGAATGCCCAGGCCAGCTCTCTGCATATGTTGGGTGTTGCTCATCATGGAGCACTGCAATTTATAATCAAATGTAAACCTCTCACACACCACTGTACCATGTATTGTACCCACAGACTTCTACACTGGTATATCTTTATTTACAACTCTATTCTCAGTCTGCTGGCTCCCTATTTGCATTCCAAGAAGTCACAAAGACAGTGCAGTCATAGCCTGTGCTACCAGGATTTTATTTCTTTGAGTCCCGTTAGTTCGCACGGAACTTGTAGAAAAGGTCTTCTCGCAGCAAGAACTGAAACTGTCCAATTTTATCCCACTGGGACATCTTCAGTGAAGTTAAATTGTCATTTCAAGCCTGTTCTTGTTTTTAGATTAGGTTTGTTTAACGTTGCTCTAATTGAAATGTTTAGGGTTTTTGTGTAACTGATGTTAAGTGTGTTTGTTTCAGGTTTCTCTTGTAAATGAGACTACCTGTCTAAGTGGCACTACTGGTCTAAATAAAAGTAAATACAAAATAAAAATAAATTTACAGGATTAAGTCAACATAGATTTATTTCAGCTCATGTAAACACTGAAAAAATGCCCGCCAAAATTACTAAACCTTAAAAAGATGAATATGGACATTTTAATAAATAAATTCTGAGATTACAAAACATATTTCAGACCATCAGAATACAGTCATTCAAGATTACTTTCTAGCCTGATGGATAATAAGATAAATATTTAATTCACACTTATTTGTAAACACGATGTTCTTAGTTTCACTCTAAATTAAATAAGCTCTCATTCAAGGGAGACTCAAAGTTATTTATGTTTTGAAGCTCTGATCATTATGCAAGTATGAATGTATTCTGTGAAAATATAAAATAATTTATATTATATTAAAGTATAAACTGAACAGATAGCATTGTTCACACAGTTAAACTCCTGGCCTGCAGGCATCACAAGGGAGACCATAAACAACTCCCATAAATAGCAAGAGGGTGGGGGGTAGAACTGGCCCCCTACAGCAGACAAGGCAAACATTTTGCACCACTTCCTAGGCAGACAGACCCAACCCAGAGCTGGTCTTTAATCAAAGATTCTTTACAGTAGAACAATCGGGCCACATGGCCAATCTCAAACAATTCCACCCATCACTGTATCCCTCACCCCGGCCGAGAACCAGCACTCAGCAGAAATGTTTCAGAAACACACGAGACAATAGAAAATATCAAGCTTCTGGCTGCCCAGTTTATAAAAAGGCAGCAAACTAGATGGAAAACTATTGTTTCTAGTCCCAGCTACCTCTTTAAGTAACTTATTGGTTGGATAAGCTACGGTCTTATGTAAATAGAAGCACCGCAGTCAAATAAAATGTAAAATAGTTCATTTAAATGAAGATTAAACATTAGACACAGAGTCAACTTGTGTGGAAATCATCTTTCTATTATATCACCAAGTAAATGTTTTCTGTTAATTTTAGTTATAGCAGGTAGAAGAGTGTCAGAGATAAACATTTCTAAACACCAACATATTTTCTGTGTTAAGTTTAGCAAACATTATCTACAGTAAGTCCTAATTATGAGCTGATAAGCAGTGGACACAGCTAACCAAAACATTACAAACACTAAACATAAAATAAAATGATCAGAAGCTAATGATAATTACCTAAACAAGAACTAGAGAAATTATATTGTATTTTCAAAAATGCAACATGAATGCTTATCTTTATAACTACTATTAATTTTACAGTACTTAAGACTGTTTTTATTATTTAAGCTTACGCTATATTATTTTGTTTTGTTAATCCATTTATTGTTTTATTGTGTTTATTGTTCTATTCTGATTTTATTATTGACTTTTGTAAGGTGACCTATAAATAAAATGCATTATTTTTATTATTGCCAAAACATTTTGCTGAACAGGTAATCAGCAGCCAAAACTGTTGAAAACAGCTGAAATTAGCAGAAAGAAACGTTTTAACTGAAACATGTTAAACAAGGATGAAAGTAGCTAAAATTAGCAAAAGGAAAGTAAAAGTAGCATAAACAAACTGAAATTATAGCACAGATGGAAGAAGTGTAAAAAATGTAAAATCGGCTGAAAAAGAAAATTTTTCCGTACAAACTGCAATTTTATACCATGAGACATTACTGGAATGTCATGAAGGAGCTGAACGTTTTAATACATGAATGGTTGAAATATATCACAAAAATTGTGGAAGGAGATAGGTGCTGAAAAGCGTGCAGAAGAACAGTAGAACCGATAATAAAGGGAAACCTGATCACTAAAGTGTGAATGCTTAGTAAGTATTTACACATTTAGCAGAAGCTAACACTAACACAACTCACTCAGTTTGAATCACACGTCTTGATCTGCTTTAATCTGAAGACTGACACAAATCATGTTAGCTTGTTAGTTGGCTGTTAGCGGGCTTAAAAGTCGGAAAAAACCTAATTTAGCCAAAGCTAATTGGTCCGGTAACAGTTTTCAAACTTTGTGAAAAAGCTAATTTGCTAAACTGTTAGCTGATTAGCAGAACCATAACCACCACTGAGATTCATGTAGTTTCATGACCCACACCTTCCAGAAGGTTCTACTTTTGTTGTCAGTCCACAGAATATTTTCTCCCAAAGTCTTAGAGCTCATCGAGATGTTTTTCCTTTTTTTTTTTTTTTTGTAAATATGTGGTAGGCCTTTCAGTTATTTTTTACTAGCAGTGGTTTTGGCACACGAAGGCCATTTTTTAACCTTTGTCTCTTTCTTATTGTTGAATCATGAACTCTGTCCTGAACTGAGACAAGTGAGGGCTGCAGAGTTTAAAAATTGCTCTGCGGGTCCTTGTGTGACCTCCTGGATGAGCCGTTTCTTCATTTCATTCATTATTTGACAAGGGTGTGGGCATCTCTATCTGATAATAAAATGAGCGTGAAATTCTTAACCATTAAACGGTGACAAAAAAAGAAGAGATCTCCAAGTAAAAACATTTTCATAGCTCTGAACATTACCTCAAACAGCACACGCCCACAGTATGTTTTCTGAAATATCCATGTCCTCTCTAGAAAAGTCAGGTTGTTTGTTTTTTTCCTGTTTGGTGAGCCAGCAATTGTTGTTCTTGCAGATGTCATTGTTTCTTGTGCTTTTTAAAGAAGCAGTGAGGAAGTTTCACTTTAGCTAGTGAGCGCTGACTTTAAAAAATAAGCTTAAATTAAAATAAAGCTTGGAATTTTATCCCTTTGCAGGTTTCAGTTTTTAAAAACAGAACGTTAAATAAAGTCAAACACAGGGCTAGTTTGGGTTTTTGGCCCGTTCCCTCTGCTCTTTTCAGTAAAAGCACTGATGAGCATGTGTCACCACAGAGTTCAGCTCATCATTCAGACTTAAAACATGCTGACTGTTGTCTTCGCCTCCTGAGCACCGGCTGGCTCACTTCCCCACAAAAGTCACATGTTAAAAATGAACACCGAGCCTGAGTTTCAGCTGCGCAAACGTCATGTTTATTTTAAACTTTGTCTGATCAGCTCTTGAGACAGCAGCTGGACCTCGAAGATGCAAACATGTAGATACGACATCAGAAATAAAAACAATTAGGATGAAATATGTACTGCATTCAGCAAAAAAAAGGAAAAAAATTCAGCTTTTATGTTGAAAATGAACTTTGCTGCAGTAGTGAGCAGCTTATTAAAACTCATAAAACGTCCCAGAGTGGCTTCAGTTTAGGAGAATTGATGTGAAGTGACAAAGCAGCAGAGATGACACAACCAGTTTTGTCAACACACTGTTGCCATCTAGTGGCACTTTGTAAAAAAAAAAAACAACTTTCATTGGATTTCTGCTGGCTCACCATTCATGTGTCCAACTCACCTCCAGTTCTGAGCTGCCCGACGAGTCGTAGGATGTGTCTGAGGAACAAAGGCTGTCCACTCGCACCTTCCTGTGAAGGGATCCCCTCTCAGCTCCTCCTTTAGATGATGTCACCTCTTTAAGGGACGTTTGCTGAGGCAATTAATAAAAAAGACAAAGAAAAAAAAAAAAGAAAACGGGATGAAAATGTCTTGTTTCAAAAATAAAGTTGCACCAAAGAAAATGATTTGCTCACTTGTCTTAATGGTTGGAGACTAACGTCCATGTAGCGACCCATCTCAGTCAGCTTCTGGAGATTCAGGGAGAAGATTAACATTATAAATATTGAAATATTTTTAACAAACATGAGACAAAACCCAGTGAAACGGTTCCACTTAATCCACTAATAATAATTTAATGTAGCTAGCCTTTGTTTAGTGGATTAGTATTTTTGGAAACCATTAGCAAACCAATTAGCTTCAGCTAACTTCAAGTCTGCTAATGAAAACAAAAACAGTTCAACTTTTTGTGGTTTTAACTGTGTTTGATGGGTGAAGAAACGTTTTAAAGATGCAAACATTTCTGTGGTGTCTTTTTAAATAATAGACCATCAGTTAGCAGTTAGCATTAGCTTCCACTAGTTTTTCTTTACTCTTTACAGTTTGCAAAGCTAATTTTCTACATAGTGGGTTGGCGGTCTAACTATGAAATGAGAAGGAAAATGTTTGATAAGTAGTAAATAACGATAATATAGCATCTTAAATTACTTCTGTACTAAGTAGTGCTTTATAATGAATACCCAAACCTGTAGGACTTCACAAGTATTTGTTTTTTGTGCGTATAAAACACTCGTAGCGGGCTCCATCCTGCTACGTGTTTGAATGCGCACCTTTGTCGAGTGAGCGTAATCACTTGTGTTTTAAAAGTAGCCTGAGCAGAGGTCTCCAAAGACAGGAAGTGTTTTGAGCTCAAAAAGCTGAAGTTGAACTAAATAAAGTGTAGCTTATCTTCACATAATATCGTAGACTTATTTTATGATCATAGAAGCCAACAATTTAGGGCTGCGCGGTATATGCGGTAGACTGTAGAAACAGTATGAAGTTGGCCAACAGTAGAAATTTACCCTCTACCGTCCTATCGTCATTACGTCATCGCACCTGTGTCAGCAGGGCTGCGAGTGCAGAGACAACTGAGCAGGAGTTCGAAATATAATGAAGAAATTCTAGAGTTTTAAAACACGTATTGAGACAATAAATCCTCAAAATTTCTTCCTCCCGCTGTAGAAACGTTATGCCATGTTGCGGGATCATCCTCCCTCCCTCCTGCTGCACGTCGTGCAGAGCGAAGCTTTAACAACTGTAGTTTTTCACACCCAATTGTCGGAGAAAAAAAATGTTTACGTATTGTTTTTAAAAAAAAAAAGACGTGGACGTTCGTTCAGTCGTAAATCCATCTTACTAAAGTAAAGTCGGCTTCTGCTCTGATGATGAAGATGAGCGCGCAGCAGAGCAGCAGCGGGTCAGTTCAACAGGCAGAAGCTCATTGGGCCTCATGCAAGAACATGTTCGTATTCTTATCCTAAATTTCTCTTACTTTTGTTCGTACGAAGGGTTCGTACGAACATGTCACGTCAGATTCAACAAACTCTTCTATCTTCAGGAAAAGTGTGTAAATGAGCTGCGTAAATTCCACCTGTTTGTATCCAGCTGCTCGTGCACGGAGAGGTTACTTACATAATTACCACCCCAAAAGCACCATATAAGGCTATGTTTCCTGCCCCACATACCAGGAAGTATCCATTCATAAATGACATCGCAAAGTAAAAAAGAAGAACTTTACGAGATCGGAGATTGTATCCTGCTCTCCGAGATCCAGAAAAGAAAATCTGTTCTCTTTAGCAGCGTCAGATGTGGAATTAAAGGAGCTGCTTAAAGGNGTACTTTGCTTTCTGTTTACACAGGACTATAAAAGCTGCTGCACATGCACACTTCATCCTGATCTTTGTAGATTTCGAGCACTGCACTGTGGAGGATCAGTGGTTTCTGCTAGTTTTAAATTGCATTAGATGCTGTGGATTCTACTTAGTTTTTTATGAAAAGGTGTTTTTTTTTAATCTAGCATTATCTTCACATTATAGGTTTGTTTGTTTTTTTTGAAGTTGAGACAGTTTTTAAAACAGCTGCAGACTCTACTTCCTGAGTTGAGGTGGATTTTTATTCTCATCAAGCAGCTCCTCCAGCAAAGAGAGTACAGCTTTTAAGTCTGTAAGAAAATTCGTATTCAATAAACTGAAGTCGATATTAAAACCACCATTGTTAAATAAAATGATTTGTAGAAGGAATCAAACCATACAACACCAGAATTGTGGATCTGAGTGAGGTTTATCGTCACTCAAGCTGACAGGAAACCAACACTCACAGAAAACCAGGAAGTTCATGTATTTATACATCTTCTTCAATGCCTGCGTTCGCTCCCTACTGACCTACAGCTGAATCACAGGCATTCAGACAAAATCCTCACCTGTTTCATAACGTTTAATTATGTGTTGTAACATATTTCGGACATGTAACTAATCTATATCAATCAAAACATAATAGATTAAACACTGTCAACATTACAAAAAGAAAAACCTAAAAATATAGTGTTGTGCTTTTAACATCAGTACTAACCTCTAATAACTTTAAATTTCTTCAAGTCTTTTTTGTAAAGTTACAAGACCAGTTTAAACTCTGTCACAGTGTTCTGGAAGGAAAGTTGTGACGTCATGAAAAGAACATATTTACGAAAAATGAAGGAAAAACAACATGTTTGGAGTCTGTATTAGAGAATAAAACAAAGCTTTAAACACAACTCTCCTGGAGATCTTTACAAAATAGGATGACCATCAAAACATTTATTTTTATATTCATGAATAGCTTAATGTTGTTATTTAATATAATGTTTGTTACAGCATGAAACCATCCAACAGAGGCTTCCAGGAGATTCTTATTGATTCCATCTTCATGAGGAAGTGAAGACWTGTGGAGACATGAAGACAAAACGTCCTCATGTCTCCTTCACTGGGAGAAGGGCTGCTCCAACAATCAGATGTACTTTTTTTATTCTTGTTTTTTTCAGTGCAGGCACCGTTTCGGGTGGAGGGTTTGGGAGGCTGCTGCTGCTGGAGTCCAGCCGCCTGGGGGTCCTGCAGAGGGTCTCARCGTCAGCCAGGACCACGTCCTCTATGCCATGAAGGCCGACTGAAGCTCTGCTGGAGCTGCAGTCCTGACGGAGACAGAACACTTTAAATACTGACACCAAATGTTTTTAATCTGATTTCAATCTGATGTTTGTTTGAATATGTAATAAAACCATTTGAACATAAAGAAAACTGTTCTTTTCTCTCTGCAGAAGCATTTAAAGACAAACTATGTGTCAAAAACAAAGATCAAAGTTACAGCTTTATGTGATAACTTAATGTTACTTTATTAGAACATGTATTGGAAGAGATGCAGCGGGTAAAATAAGTCTTGAACACGTCACCATTTTTCTCAGTAAATATATTACTAGAGGTGCTAATGACATGAAATTTTCACCAGATGTCGGTAACAACCCAAGTG